CAGCGGCAGACGAACGAGCAGGATTCTGCTCAGGCCTTGGCCTCTGCAGGATCGAGAGATGGATGGAAGGTCCGAGATGGAAGGGCTCCAAGATGGAAGAAGGGTGAAAAGGATCGAGACCCTCGTGATCTCTCGGTTTTTATACTGAGTATGACGTATGTGGGATGGAATACCTAGTTGGTCCGTTTTGGGTCCGCTTCCCCCTCCTGTAGGCACAGACACAGCACCCATGATGAGACAACTGATCTTGAGCATATCTTCTAGCAGCACTGTTTGGGAAAAACATGCTGCTAGTTTTCAGCAAGTTCAGTCACTTAAAAGACTGAGCTGAAAAATAAAAACACTAAATAGAAAAAATTAGTTTTATTTAGCTCAAACCGGGACAATCACAATTTTCTAGAGCTGGTAGATGGCTACAAAAAGAGAAGACCTGTGGCTCACCTGAAAAGCCCTGGGAGATAGAGAGCGGGTGTGGGAGGAAGACTTGGCAAAGTGAGGGGCAGTGGTGGGAGGAGAGGAGAAGGATGTGTGTGGAAATACTTTAAAGGGAAGTAATAGCTGGTTTTCCTTTTATTTTTTTTCCCCCTCCCCATCCAGATGAATTTCACAGTAGATCAGATCCGAGTGATCGCAGACAAGAAGTCCAATATTAGGAATACGTCTGCAATTGCTCATGTTGATAGTGGCAAATCAGCCTTAACAGACTCCTCGGTGTGTAAAGCGGACTTCATTGCTTTAGCCAGAGCCGGAGAAACACGATTCACAGACACACAGAAAGATGAACAAGAAAGATGTATTACAATCAAGTCTACGTAATAATTTCTTTGTATATATTTTTTTTATTCTTTTTAATCTGAAGACAGAAGAATTGTTTGCTCAAAGCCTTGCATCTTGTCAGATCTTTTTTAAGTTGACATGTGAATCAAGCTGAGCATTACAGAACAGAAGTTCACAGTCTCCAGAATGCAATCTGGGCAGTATTGGCATAGAGCTTATAAGTGATATCTAGTGACTGCTCTTACCTGCTTCTCACTACAGAGAAAGATGCTTTTAGAAAGAACCTTGGCAGTAATCTTTGTTTTTACTGGGTTTGTTGCAGACTAATGTCCTGTTCCTGCAAGCCAGTGTGGTGGGCTCTGTCTTTTTAGTGTTGCCTCTATTTTGATGTCTGCAACTGTAAAGTTGTAAAGTGATGTGGAACATGACTCTACAAGTATATGATAGTGGTAGTATGCTGTGACTGCTATCCTGATGTGTTGATTTTGAATAACAATTAATTACACCACTCAAAGCAGAATTTTATATCCTAAGAACTTTATAAATTGAAATATTGAAGTCTTGTTATTTTTAAGTACATCAAGAAATATTGGCACTGTAACAGCAGGTATAGGAGCCTGACCAATGCAAGTTTTAAAATCAGCAAATTATGTAGCATTATAAAATTATTAAAATTAATTTTCCTCTCTTACAGGGCAATTTCTATGTTCTTTCAGACAATGACTTGGCCTTCATCAAACAGTGTAGGGATGGTTCAGGCGCTCTCATTAACACAATTGACTTCCCTGGATGTGTTGATATCTCCTCTGTAGTTACAGCAGCTGTCTGTGTCATTGATGGTGTCCTCATTGTGGGTGACTTTTTTTCAGGTAAACATGCTCTTCTAATTAGAAAGACCTCAGTGTATTTTATTTTCTTAAGGAAAAAAAAATCAGGAGTGATGGAAGAAGCTTCTTTCACTGAAAGTTTAACTTCTAATGGTATGAATTCTGATTTGCAGTCTTAGCCCATGGCCTTTCCTGTGTCTTAAAGGATTATATCTGCTTTGTTTCCAGCTTGTGGTTTAAAAGTAGAGTAACTGAGGAAATAAAGTCAATCTTTCAGTAAAATCTGAGGGAGTGGAGTTGCCTGTCATTCTTCTCCTTCAGTTAGAAAATGGAGCAATACACACAAATGAGTAATGATGGTTTCAGGGAGTGCTGAGATTGCCACCCAATTCCCAGTTTGAATTTCCCAGTCATCACTGTACAAAGTAGATTAGAGATCTTGCCCATATGTATATAATGCATTTTTTAATTGTACTTATATTTTTAAGGGGGTTGTGTACAGACAGAGGTAGGCTATTGCAGAACATATCAAACCAGTATTGATGAACAAAATGGATTGTGCTTTGCTGGAATTGCAGCTGAAGTCTGAGAAACTTCACCAAATGTTTCAGCGTATTGTGAAAGGTGTCAGTGTTGTTATTTCCACCTATGGGAGAGGGTGAAACTGGACCAATGGATAGTATTTTTGTAAAGAAATCCTTAACACTTTGCTGTGGTTGAAATCCTATTTTGGAGACTACCAGCCTTGACATGAAACAATTGCATGTGTTTATGGAAGTTCAGATTTCTGACCAACCTTGAAGGAGCTGTTCTTCAGCCCCGTGCTTCCTCCACTGTTTCCTACTTTTTCTTTTTTGGGATATTATTTCAGACCAATGAACTGGGAGGCAAAAGCAACTAGGAGAAAGTAGAGAATTCACAAAGCAGATCATCCTGTAGTGATACTTTCTCACTAACAAAATGTGTAACCTCAAGTCAGTTGCTCAGTGTCATTCAAATGTCAGACATTTGCCTGGGGCAAGCTGCTGAAGGGAAGCTACAGCCTGAAAATTAAGGCAAAAGCCAGAAGATGAGGTTTCTGTGCCTAACTTCGCTACTTATGTCACTTACATGACAAGAAACACAGCCTGCTATTGCTGACTGACAAGACATTTAATTTGCTCTTTTCTGATCTTAAGATGTAGGTCTCTCTTATTCTACCAGTAATTCCAGTATAATATGCTGGATGTCTCTGGAAGAATGGTTTGAAACTAGAAAGACAAATAGTATTTCCTATATTGCAGCTGAGAATTTTAAAATAAAAAAAACAAAACAAGTCAACTGCACGTCTTCTCTAGTGGTCTAGCTGTTAGGGTAAGGAATTGTAAAAATAAGGCTGCTTCAGATATTTTTTTCCACCAAATAGCTGCAAGACAGACCTTCTCACCAGAGTTTTCAAAACTGTTTCCCTTTATTTAAATGTGATTGTAACGCACTACCTTGTTTTATGGCTAAAATTGATGGCAGCATAATCTAGTTAATGGAACAAAGGACTCTCAGCTAGGATTATGTTCTGATTTCTATATTTCACGAATCTCAACCATTCTTAAGTCAGACCATTTTTTATCTGTGTGGCAGGAACAATCTACCTATATTTTAATTTCTAGAGAAAGTTCACTAACAATTCAGTTAATTTTCTTTACAAAGTCATAATCCTCCAAATCCTACTTAGCACTTTACAAATATATTTCTGAAGTTTTTATTTATTTTAGCTTCGTTATAAATATTTCCACTGTGTGGGACAAAGTAAGGTTCTTGCTTCAAAGTAATATACAATAGACCCAATGTAGAGGAAATATTTCCTTGTTCTAGGTCCCAGAAAATATTTGGCATCTTCACTGATGCTGTCACTGAAAGAAATTGATACATTTCAAATCACTGTTTTGTGAAATGCATTCACTCCCCTCCCCCCACCACCCCTTTTTACTTTTCCCCTTTTAAAGAATGATCCAGTTATTGGTATTGCTGGGTTTGACTCTCGTCTGCATGGCCAGGTATTTACCCTGAAGTGGTTTGCTGAGGTGTATGTGACCAAATTTGCTGCTAAAGGTGAAAAAGCACAATTCCTCCAGTTGAGTGACCAAAGAAAGCAGAAGATAGGATAAAAAACTCTGAGGTGATAAGTAAGTGTGATAAATGATTCCATCTCAAATAGAATTTTGTAATTAAAGGTTATAATTTCTTAAAAGAGTAAATGCAAGCAAACAGCTCTGGGTGCGTGTGGAGTCTGCGCTCCGCCTCCGCACACTGTACAATTCTTTTTCCGGGTTTATATTTCTTTAACTAATACATATTAATTAAATTTCTCAAAATGCCTATACATATGCATAACCTATCCCCGCTTCATATTATAATTAGTTTTCCTCCTATTTGCACTTGTGCAGTATCTTCTGTCGGTGGTTGTCCTTATCTTCTTGCGCAGATTCAATTACTTCTTGGTTTTGTTGTTTTTTTTAAAACAGCAGGACGGGTGTTATCGATTTCTGAAAAAAGTTCTCAAGCAACTATTTACATTGTGTGTTTCACTTCCTCCCTATCTGGTTTTCTTGTAAAGACAAACGAGATAACCTCAAAGGTCACTGGTCACTCTTTTCTCATGACCTCAACATTGTTTTTTCCTAACACAAATCAGACCAACATATCTCACAATCCCCCATTTTCTTTTTATTAACATTGATTCGTGTTTTTGTTTCTAATTGAGTTAATACTTGACGAATGGGTATCAATTCTGGATCTTCTTTCGTCTTTAAAATTATTAGAGAATGAGTTTTCCCTTCTTCTAGCTTTGAATCAACGGGTACTGCAGTTATCTGCATCCCTTGTATAACTGAATGTATTCGTTTAATAAAACAAGGTATTAAACATGGAATTATTAACAGTCCCGCAAATGACCCTAATATGACAATTCCAACCTTAGTAAACCAATCATTGTCCATAAATCCTTTCCAAAATCCTCCTAAATCGATTCCATTCCAAGTCTGAACTGGGACATGTGCAATTGTCTTCATTTCTTTCACAAGTTCATCTACAGCTCCTCCTTCATCATCGACTTTTAAACGACAATTACTAAGGTTAAATTTTCCACAAACA